GAATCAGATCAGGTGATGGACCGGAAGTCCCATGAACAGGAGGTCAGACCTCACGAGCCAGATGCGAGATCCAGAGTAAGAGAGTAAGCTTTCCCAAAGCAGTCTTCTAAATTGGAGTCAGACCAGTCCCCCAAGGGAAACTAAGGGTGGTGACTTGAGTCACACCCTCTACTAAGGTGGGGGCACTCTTAATACTTAGATCCACCGTAACCTTTATTCCTTCTTCTTGTTAAGCGTCAAGTCGATTCCGACCCACAGCGACCCTGTATAGGATTTCCAAGGAGGAGCTGGTAAGCTTGAACCAGCGACCTTGTAGTTCAAACGACTTTGCAGTCTGATGCATTAACCCACAGTGCCACTTCAGGACTCCGTAGCCTCACCTTAATCTTTACTCCTTAGCAACTCATTTCAAAATGGGTCCATAATCACAGACATAGAGGCTAGGATTTTCAGTACATCACAGAATGGAGAAATGTGGCTAGAAGTGTCATAAGAAATAATTAGCTGCCCTGTAACAACTTTAATCTTCTCTTCATTTATCATGATGTTATTTATTGGTCCAGTTGTGACAATTTTCTTTTCTTTACATTGATGTGCAATCCATACTGAAGGCTGTAGTCTTTGTTCTTCATCGGTAATTATTTTAGGTCCTCATTGTTTCCAGCAAGCAAGGTTGTATCATCTGCATATCACAGGTTGTTAGAAAGTCTTCCTCCAATCTTAATGCCCTGTTCTCCATGTAATCCAGCTTCTCAAATTATTTGCTCAGCATACAGATTGAACAAGTATGGTGAAAGAATACAGCCCTTATGCGCACCTTCCCTGATTTTGAACCATTCAGAGTCTCCTTGTTTTGTTCAAATGACTGTCTCTTGGCCATTATACAGGTTCCTCATGAGCACAATTAAGTGTTCCGGAATACCCATTCTTCACAATGTTATCCATGACTTTTCATAATCCACAGTTGAAAGCCTTTGCACATCAATAAAGCACAGGTAAACATCTTTCTGGTATTCTCTGCTTTCATTCAAGATCCATCTGACGTTAGCAATGATATCCCTTGTTCCACATCCTTTTCTGAATCTAGCTTGAATTTCTGGAAGTTCTGTATCAATGTACTGTTGCAGCCATCTTTAAATTACCTTTAGCAAAAATTTTCTTCCATGTTATATTAATGATATTGTTCGATGCCTTTTGCATTCCATTGGGTCACCTCCCTTTGGAATGGACACAGATGTGGATCTCTTCCAACGAGTTGGCCAGGTAACTCTCTTCCAAATTTCTTGGCATACAAGAGTGAATGTCTCCAGGGTTATATGAATTTGTTGAAAGATTTCAGTTTGCATTCCATCCATTTCTGGAGCCTTGTTTTTCACCAGTGTCTTCAGTACAGTTTGAACTTCTTCCTTCAGTACCATCAGTTCTTGATCATATGCTACCTGTTAAAATAGCTGAATATTGACCATTTGTTTTTGGTACAGTGACTCTGTGTATTCCTTCTATCTTCTTTTGATGCTTTCTACATCGTTCAATATTTTACCCATAGGATCCTTCAATATTTCAAGTTGAGATTTGGATTTTTTCCTTCAGTTCTTTCATCTTGAGTTCTTCCTTTTTGGTTTTCTAACTCCGCGGGAGAAAGATGAGGCTTTCTACTCCTGTAAAGATTTACACCCTCGGAAACCCTATACAGGGTCGCTATGGGTCGGAACCGACTTGACGGCACTTAACAACAACAACAACAACTCCAAGTCTTGGCATGTTTTGTTATGATAATTTACTTTGTCTTCTAGAACTGCCCTTTGAATTTTTCTGTTCAGCTCTTTGACTTCCTCGTTCCTTCCATTTGCTTTAGCATGTCTTCATTGGAGAGTCAATTTCAGAGTCTCTTCTGATGTGCATTTTTGTCTTTTCTTTCATTCTTGTCTTTTTAATTACTTTTTACTTTCCTCCTGTATAATGTTCTTGATGTCATCCCACCAACTCTTCTGTTCTTGGGTCACTGTGTGTAATGCATCAAAAGTGTTCTTGAGATGAGCTCTATATTCAGGTGGGATGTGTTCAAGGTTGTATTTTGGCTCTCATGGACTTATTTTCATTTTCTTCATCTTCAGTCTGAACTTGCATGTGAGCAATTGTCTGTTCCACAGTCTGCCCCTGGCCTTGTTTTGGCTGATAATGTGGAGCCTTTCCACCATCTCTTCCCACAAATGTAGTCAGTTTGATTCCTGTGTATTCCATCTTATAAGGTCCATGTATACAGTCACCTTTTATGTTGTTTTAAAAAGGTATTTGCAATGGATAAGTCATTGGTCTAGCCAAATTCTATCATGTGGTCTCCAGCATCATTTCTATCACCAAGGCTTTATTCCAATTGAGTCATCGTGGTCAACTCTACTTTGAGGAGACAACTTTTCCCCAGTCATGTTTTGAGTGCCTTCCAACCTGAGGGGCTCATCTCCCAGTATAATATCTGGCAATATTCTGGTGCTATTCATAATGTTTTTCATCTTCCAGCACTATATCTGACAATGTTGCACTGCTGTTCATAAAGTTTTCAGTGACTAAGTGTTCAGAGTAGTCTGCTTCGCCTTCTTCCTAGTTTGTCTTAGACTGGAAGCTATACTGCAATCTGTCTACCATGGGTCCCGTGCTGGTCTTTAAAATACCAGTGGCAAATGTGCTCTTTTAAATCACTGTCTTCTTTTAGTGTGCTGTCAGGTCGATCGCAACTCATAGTGAGTGTATTTGAGTAAAGTCCAACTGCCCACAGGGTTTCTGAGGCTGTCATCTTTGTGGCAGTAGTTCAACAGATCTTTTCTCCCTCAGAACCACTGGTGGGTCCAAACCATTGACCTTTCAGCACCAAGCACTTAACCATTGTGCCACCAGGGACTCTTAAAGAACTGTCTATATGGGAAAGCTAGATGAGAAACTTAAGGGCAGTGAGTTCATGTTATGAAGGAGGAAGTCTGGAAAAGGAGGATGAAATGGTTACCCAGCTTGAAGAATGTAATCATCATCACAAATTTGTATATGTAGAGATTGTTGAATTGTATATATTCTGCAGATTTTCAGCAACACACACACAAAACATTTAATGGGAAAAATAAGAGTTCATCCATGTGGTAGCATGTATCAGAACCTCATTCCTTTTTGTGGCTGAGTCATTGACAACCCCTGAGTTGTTGTAGAGCTGTGACAGGCTCCCACAGAGGGGAAGGAGCAGCCATAGAGTTATCATTGGACCAACATAGCATCCTGCCCATGGAGGGGAGGCTTTTGGCTACAGCTGCTAGAGTGGCATAGAGTTGATTCTCAGAACTGGAACTCTGAAATTGACTCCTTCCATTCATTCATCATGTATTTGGGAGTGTCTGCCATGTGCCACATCATGGGCTCTGGGAACATTGCACTGGACGAAAATCTGTTGGAGAGATATTCATTAAAGAAGGATATGTGATTGCAGCCTGGAATGAGAACTTATGAGCAAAGATCCAGAGTGTGTGTGATCTAGCCAGAGGGCCAATAAGACTTCCCTTGGAAAAGGTGACTAGAATATCAAGGATGAGTAAGAATCAGCTAGGAAAACCTAGAAGCTGTTGATGGCTATTAAGCAGCAGCACGAGATTTGTGATTTGAACAGGTCATTTGGGCCACACATAGAAATGGATGGAGGCCAGATTAGGGACCCTTCTTCTGTGCTTCCATAGCCCCCTGTTCCTTCTAGGATAACCAATAACCAGATGCCACTGATTGACCCTGACAATGGCAGCCCCAGGTGTGCCAGAGTATAATTGCATTCCACAGGGTTTTCAATAGCTGATTTGCAGAAGTAGATCAACAGGCCGTTCTCCTGAGGTAGCTCTTGGTGGGCTTGAACTGCCAACCTTCCATTTGCACCACCCCAGACTCCTCTCCCACAATAGAGTTACAGTGTGGTGTTTACATGGCTCTCTCCCTTCCCAGATGGAGAACTCTTTTATCTTGACGGCTTTGTTTCATCAGCTGTGAAGTGAGGCGAATTGTAGTACCTGTTTCAGAGACTATGAAGAAGCTTAAATGAAAGAATCTCTGTAAAAAGTCCTCAGCACAGATTTACCTGGTACTTAGTATGTGAGTGCATGCTTACTAAACATTACTTCCAGTGATAATCATCTGTATCCTGGGAGCTGGCATACTCTAGACACCTGAACGAATGAATGGAAAAATGAACAAGTCAAGGAATGAAAGAATGAAGTGACCTATTAAGCCTTTCTAAGGAGCTCTGGTAGCGTAGTGGTTACGAATCGGGCTGCGAACCTTAAGATCAGCAGTTCGAAACTACCAGCCGCTCCGCGGGAGAAAGATGAGGCTTTCTACTCCCGTAAAGATTTACACCCTTGGAAACCCTGTACAGGGTCGCTATGGGTCGGAACCGACTCGATGGCACTTCACAACAACAACAATTAAGCCTTTCTGATGTCAGGATTACTGTAGGGTGAGAGAAAACACTTTATAGACTAGTAGTTTAAACTCGGATTTCATACAGCTATCCATTGAAGAAATGGAGTCCTGGTGTGGCTCTGTGGGCTAATGCGTCAGACTGCAAAGTCTTGAAGCACAAGGTCGGTGATTCAAGCTCACCAGCCGCTCCTTGGAAACACTATACAGGGTCTCTATGGGTCAGAATCGACTCGACAGCACTTAACAACAACAACAGCAATCCATTGAAGAGAGGTACATGTTAATCTCTCAAAGTGAGGCTAAATGTAAGGTGCCTAGGATCACTAGCTAGAGTGAATGCAGGAGTTGGGATTTGAACCCCAGCCTGTTGACTCCCAAGGTGATACTTTGCAATGTAGCCTCTACTAACAGCTACCACTTTTCACTGGCAGGGGGTAGGTGTTTGTCTTCCCTTCAAGGGTGAGTGTTCCCCTGTTGCTGCCTGCCCAGAAAAGTGGGGCAGAACATCTTGTATTGCAGAAAGAAGAGATTCCATCTCCTTGTGTTCTCCACAGGCACCTTCAGCGCCCCGTGGGCTGCCCTTGCCCGTAGCCGTGAGCAGTACTGCCTGGCCTGGGAAGCCAAGTACCTGATGGAGCTCGGCAATGCCCTCGAGACCATCCTCAGTGGTCTGGCCAACATGGTAGCCCAGGAGGCCCTCAAGTACACTGTGTTGTCTGGTACGTTGCCCCTGGTCCCACAAGAGCATACCATTGATCCATCCTACCTTGTTCCTTAGAGGCCCCTGTGAACCAAGCATTGTGATAAGCCCTAGAGACCCAGAGGTTCAAGTCTGTGCAGGGAGGAGACAGGTAAATAGCCAACCACATTATCACATAGTCTGTCAGTTAGTTAATGCTGCAAAACAAGCAACCCCAAAGTTCAGTGGCTTAAAATAAGCATTTCATATTATAATGCATAGTTCATGAGACTAGGGGTTGGCTGACCTTAGCTGGGACTGTTCATGTCTTTGGGGCAAGCAAACTGTCAACTGATCAAGGCTAACCTTGTCTGAGGCAACTAAGGTAACTCAGCTAAGGCACGACCTGATGCATAGCTCAGTTAAGCCTCACATTCACCAGCATCTCATAGGCTAAAGCAAGTCACATGGCTGAGCCCAGCGTGGAGGGACAGACAAGTCAGTCCAGCCTGGTGGGAAGGACTGTGGAGTTACAAGGCAAAGTGGGAATTGTGTGAATACAGGATGATACAAGATAATGAACTGAAACCATCTTTGGTATCTCAGACATGCTGGGAAAAGTCTACCCCTTGCATCAAGCGCTGCAAATCTCACCTTTGTAGCAGTTGGACAGCCCTTAGGAAACTTGCAGGTTCCAAGCTAGACACTGCATACATTCATCCTAAAGGTGCCCATTAGCCAGTCCCTTCCACTCCACTCTCTTCATCGCTGGTCTCCCACCTCCCCAGGCATTGTGGCTGCTCTGACCTGGCCAGCTTCACTCCTCAGTGTCGCCAACGTCATCGACAACCCCTGGGGCGTGTGCCTCCATCGGTCAGCAGAGGTCGGCAAGCACCTGGCCCACATCCTGCTCACCCGGCAGCAGGTACCTGGGAATGGCGGTGGTGAGAGGCAAGAGGGCAAGTGAGGGGTTGACTTGCACACAGCTGCCAACCTTAGAGACGAGTCTTTGTGGAAGTAATCCCCTGGCTTTAGGGGTGATCTTCACTGCCCCTCCAGTTCAAGTCATGGAAGCATCTGTCCTAGGATGGACCAATAGGAATCTTAGGCTGCGCTTCTCCAGCAAGTAATCATGTGAGGACTGGGCCTCAGGGTCACCTGATTGGTGGGCTAACACAGAAGCCCAAGTGGCTCCTATGAATAGATTTTTAAGTTAAATGTTGAGTAGTGAACATTTTTTTCTTTCAAATAAGAGAAAAAAAACTCTCCAGGGCTGTAGCACTGTAGGATCAGCACTGGACTGCAAACCACAAGGTCAGTGGTTCAAACTCACCAGCTGTGCCTTAGAAACCCTATACAGGGTCACTATGAGCTGGAATTGACTCGAAGGCACTTAACAACAACAATGGCTGGGTTCAGAAACAAAAATTTCATTGCTGTCAAGTGGATTCTGACTCCTACTGAGACTACAGGGCAGAATAGAACTACCCCATAGGGCAAGGCTTCATGCACGCCAACTGCCACATCTTTCTCCGACAGAGTGGTGGTGACTTTGAACCACTGAATCACCTGAGCTTCCTTGGCTGGGCTTCTCAGGGCGCTGTTTCAATGGAAACTTCTGGCCCGCTTTGCAGTGAAGCCTGCAGAGAGAATGAAAACACACACTTGGCTCTGGGGAGTGTGACGCCCACGTCCACCTGGTGGCCACGGGTTCCTCCCCAGAAGCACAGAGCTTCCACCTGAGGACAGCTCCACTGCTCAAAATATCTAGTAAAACGGTTAGGAAAAGAAATCATCATCCTTTTAAAATTTGAATCCAGTAAAGAAGTATTTACTAAGAAAATGAAACCACCACTACCCCCCGCCACTCCCCTTCACAATAAATGTGAGTTCAATAGAGGGAGAAATAATAGCAAACTGTATTATTAGGAGTCGTTTGGGCTGCAAATGGGAGAACAGTCAAAATAACATTGACTGAATCAAGATAGAAGTTCTCTCTCATATAAAAGCCTAGGAGGGCATTCTGCACTCAGTGGTGCACCAGATATTAGAGACTCTTGGTCCAAGATGGCAGCATCTGTAAAAACAAGGAGATGAGGTCAAAAAATGATGGGTTTGTCTTTTCTAAAATTTGATTAAAATGAATTCTACTGCCAAACTATGGATAATTTTTGACTCACCCTTGTAATTGACTAGTCCTATCTCCTGGGGAAGGTGAGAGCTGAGCCTCTGGGATAATAGTCTCAGATGGAAGGGAATTAACCCCACCAGAGGCTGCCAGTTCCAACGGCAGGTGTCTCCTGCGTAAATGAAGTCCCTGATCTCCTGATTAAGATGTCGGAACTGGGAGGCCAGGAATAGCACATGCATGATTCATTAAGCACGAGGCAGGAGCTGCGAGCGTTCAGCAGCCCCCCTCGTCAGGGCTGTGCCTCCAGACACCTGTGTTCTTTCACCTCCCAGGGCCGGCGACCAGTCACCTTGATTGGCTTCAGCCTGGGAGCCAGAGTCATCTACTTCTGTCTGCAGGAGATGGCACAGGAGAAAGGTGAGTCTGGCTTGTCACCAATGAAAACCCTTCACAAGTTTGTCCCCCACACTGGAGGTTCTGAATGCAGAGATGCCGACCCTTGCTTGTGTCTGCGTCTCTTAGAGATGATAGAATAGTGTTGGAAAATGACACACTTTTTCTGTATGAAATTTAGGATGGATGATAATGACATTGGCCCTTGAGTTCGGATTCACATTCTCAAGTGGGAGAGAAGAGGATGAAGGCTATGTGGTTCTCAGTGTAGTGATGGAAAAGACCACACATACACACATGTGCACACACACACACACACACACACACACTGTACAACAAGACATCTCACACCCTGTCCTCGAGTGTCAAATACCATTAGCCCTTCTGGTTACTGTGACGACCCAGAATGCCTCTACTTGTTTATTCCCAGGTTCCCCTGGGGGCAGGCTTGGGCTAGGATGACAGTGACAGTGTTCCAGGCATGTCTCTGGGGACACCCATCCAGTATCATCCTGTCTGTGCTGAAGCAACAGAAAGATTGAGGACCACTGTCCCCAGCTTCAACTGAGTTGGTTTCCAGAACAGAATGTGGTTCTGTCAGTTCTGTCAGCCAAGGGTTACCTGTCAGAGGGGGCTGCGGACAGTGAGTAGCAGAGCTTGGAACACTTTGCGCAGTCCATGGTCCTGGTAGTGGTGGGACTCAGCAGGCCAAGAAAGACTAAAGAGAAGGCGCCGAGAAAGGAGCTCTTTCATTGAGAACACAGGATGGAGGAGACAAGAGGCTGCAGCCTCAGCCAGCATCCTCTCTGGCGCTCACAGAACACCTCTGAACCTCAGTTTCAGGCCACATAAATTAGAGTGAACAAGGTTCACCTCCCCGTGGTTGCTTTGAGGATTCATTGAGGTGCTCCATGTACAGAACTTTTGCCCATTTGAAAACCCATTGTTGGCATACTTCGGCTCAAGGGTGCCAGTGTGCCACTTTAGCTCTTCAGAGTTTCCTGCGTCCTGAGGCTCCCTCTGAAGCAGCCCCCGTCATGCTCGCTTAGGTCAGCTTGTGATGCGATGGCTGCTCCAATTGCTGGCAAGGACAGGGCGAGGTGGGTACATCAGCAGGCTGGATTTGAGGGGGCTGGATGAGTCAGGAGTTGACCGGAGGTATTTTCAGCATTGGCGTCATCAGAGGGCATGGAAGAGACCATGGAACTTGGGACATGACTCATTTCTGCTTGTTTTCTTCTGTTAAAATTTCTCCCCAATGTCACGCTAGACTAGGGGACCAAGGTACAAAGACAGGCGTTTACTATGGAAGGGCCAAGTCCCTGCATTTGCCGCGGCGCCTCACGATAGTCTCTATGCCATTCTGGAAGATGCTCTCTCTCCCCGCTCCTTTGTAACTCTCAGCAGCCTCTGTCTTCACCTGGTTTTGTTTTTATTTTGGGGTGGTTTTGGTTTTTTTTTTTTTTGAAGTTTTTATTGTGAATTGAGTGATAGTTTACATGAGGGAACATTAGTTCATTTCATTTCAATGATTACAATCCCCTGCATGCTTCATCATTCAACAGTATTTGCTTCTATTCCCTCGGTTTTGTTTGGTTGATTTTTTGTTGTTTTTTGATGTGTACCAAAACACTCAAGAATATACAATCATTCAGAAAACCAAAGAGTACACCCTGCCCCCCCAGACGCCAGCACTCATCCCCTCTCCCTCCATGAGTCTAGAATCCTCAGCCGTTTCGTCTCAGATTTTGTCCGAGGCTTTCTACTCCCGTAAAGATTTACACCCTCGGAAACCCTGTACAGGGTCGCTATGGGTCGGACCCGACTCGATGGCACTTAACAACAACAACAACAACCTAAAGCAATGGGCAGGTACCTCTGACCCACTAGTAGTAGCTTTGGATAATGTGGATTTGCCTTATACAAGAGCCTGGGAAGCCAGCTCTGAGATGTGGTCACCAGGAACATCGAGGCTGGGGTCAGGTCAGGCAGAAAACACTACAGAAGCAAGGGTGAATCTGGGGCCCCAGGGAAGACTAATTTCCATGTCAACTTAGGGAACATTGTACCTTCCATTTCTATATACGTTCTATATACATTCTTCCGTTTCTATATACGTTCTTCACCAGAGATAATGAGTAGTTTCAAAAAGTTTGTGAAAAACTGGAATGAAAAGGTAATGGGATTTTTCTACCAATTTTTTGAAGCCCCTTCATAGACCAAATCAGAAAGATGTCCCCTACCTATCTTTCCTGCTCTATCAGCTAACAGTAATCCACCTGGGACCTTGTGGCCTGCTGGGCGGCACTCTCCAGACCACCACAATTTCTCCCCATCCCCACATTTCCCCAGCAAGTGGCTTTATTAAGCTGGAGTGATGTCACTGACTCCTACAGACTGCCGTGTCCTGTACGTTCTGTACGTCATCACCATTGCATAGATATAATTGTACTGCCAGAATCTCCGAGGGGAAAAATGGGGGCAGAGGGACAGTATTTCTCACACAGCAGAATAAACGTATGAGTTATAGAGGGGCAGAATAGTAGTATCAATCACCTGTGGATGCAGTGATACCTACTGTACTACAAACCAGCCCCAAACTTCATCACAACTATTATTTTTATGGGCAGGGCATATAGGTTGACTATGGTTCGATTGATGTAGGATGGGTTCTGTTTCCGGGTACAAGTTGAGTCGGCTTGCTCACAGTCACAGCCTGGACTTCAGTCAGCTCTGTGTATATTTAGGCCAGGACCCAGGTTGAAGGGGCAGCAGCTACCCAGGGCCATTTTCTTCTATGGTAGATCACTAGTAGGCCAGGGTCAAACCTAACCAAACCACACATGCACACTCTGCTCATACACACTCAACAACCTTCAGTATTATTTATTACTGAAAAAAAAAAAAAAAAAGAGGAAAAAAAACACCTTTCCAAACATGCTGTTGTTAGCTGCCATCCAGTCTGTTCCAACTCATGGTGACTTCATGCACAACAGAATGAAGCATTACCCAGTGACGGCATCACCGTCGTCATCATCACCGTCGTTGGTAAATTCAAGCCCATTGGCAGAGCCGCAGTGCATTTTGAGTGCCTTCCAACCTCATGCCTTTCCAAGAAGCTCATCTTTGAGCCCTGTGCAGGGGCTTCAAAAAGTTCATGGAAGAACTCCATTATCTTTTCATTCGGTTTTCCATGAATATTTTGAAGCCACCTTACATATTGGACAATGCTCTGATGCAATCCATAGGACTTTCATTGTGTCATTTGGGGAATGAGATCACCAGGCCTTTCTTCCTAGTCTTAGTCTTACTTAGTCTACTTAAGCCTGTGTCCCATGGGTGACCATGCTGGTATTTGAAATACCAGTAGCATAGCTTCCAGCATCACAGCAACAGGCAAGCCACCCCAGTACGACAAACTGATAGATGGGTGGTGGTCTCCAAACACTGTGACTTAAAACAAAAATAACTGACTATTATGCACTGTTCTGTGGGTTAGCTGGACGTCCTGGTCCCAGCTACTCCCTCATGCAGTTGTGGTCAGAAGGTAGCTGGGATGGCCAGAAGTTGACCTCACTCACGTCTGGCATGACCACACTTGGTGCTGGCTGTTGACCAGCAAGTCTCAGTCTTTTTCCAGATGGTGACTCCTCCTTGAGTAGGCAGGACTGACATTCCTACATGGGGTCTTAGGACAGCATCTCTAAAGGGCAAGAGCGAAAGCTGCAAGGCTTCTTAAGACCTCAGCTCCAAAAGTCTTGGTGTCATCCCGCCACATTCTGTTGGACAAAGCAGATCACAAACCTGACAAGAATCAAGGGGGTGGAGGTGGAATATGCGTCTCTGGATAGAAGAAATGACAATGTACTTGTAGCCATTTTCAAACTTGCACATGTTCCCGTGGCCAAAGTAAGTCAGTGGCCAGGCCCTTGGCCAGTGGGGCAGGACAATGCACTCTGCCCACAGTGGAGGGCTGAGCAGTAATCCAGACTATCCCAATGGGGTAAGGGAGGAGCATGGACACTGCAGTCAGCTGAGACCTGGGTTCTAATCCTGTCTCTGCCTCTGCGTAGCTTGTGTAACCTTGAATGTGCAAGGACACAGCCTCTCTGCACATCCGTTTCCCCATTTACAAGAGATGAATGTCACCATCAGCTGCTCCTCAGAAACCCTATACAGGGTCCTTATGAGTCAGAACCTACTCGAAGGCACTTAACAACAACAACCTCTTTGGATAGTGATGAAGACAGAGAGCACAGTCCTGGGTCTTGGTAAAAACCAGTTGCCAGGTGGCATCCCCATGTGAGTCAGAGTAGAACTGTGTCCCGTGGGGTTTTCAACAGCTGAGTGTTCAGAAAGACGGTCAGGACTTTCTTCCAAAATCCCTCGGGGAGAGCTCGAACCTCCAGCCTTTGCTTAGAAGCTGAGTGTATTAACGGTTTGCACCTTCCAGGGACTCTGGGCTCTTGGCAAACGCTCAGTACACATGACCTCTCAACCCCTCTGTGCCCTTCAGCCTTCTTCAGGCTGCTAGAGGGGTGGCTGCAGCTCCTCCCAGCAATCTCAGCCTGCTTCTCCCGAGGACCCTTAAAAAATTGTCATCACCATTTTGCTCTTTTCGTAGTAATCTTTCCTCCAGCCCGTGCAGTGTACCATCTGCCAGGCTCCTCATTGCCTGCTATGACGTTGTTTTATTAATAGAACCAATTCTTCATTTAGAGGAGAAGGCTCATCTTTAGCTCCCATTAGCCTAAATTACATGTTAACTTCAGATCGTTAGTACAAGCCAAGTCTTCAATTCCCCTATAGAACAAATTGAATTAATTACCACTAACTATTTGGCCCTGGTACTCAGAAGTGAGGTCTCTGATTAGCTGCCTCCAGAAGGGGAGGCTGGGAGCTGGTGGGAGTGAAGGGAGAGGTGGGGACCTCTGGGTGGCAGGGCTGGTTAGGGTGACACTGAGGAGGTAGTCCTCACCAGAGCCTCTCGGGTGCAGGTTCCCATAGCAGTTCCCTTCTGGCAT